TTTTTTTTTCTTTTTTGACAAAAGGGCAATTGTTTTACATGTTTTGTTAAGGCCTTAAGGGGCAGGGAAAGGGAAAGCTGGAACTCAAACCTAATGGAATTCACCACAAAGTCCAATGGGCCATTGGACTACTAGCCTTGTGCCTCGGGGAGAATTTGCCAGTGTGATTACTCTTCGCAAAACTTTTCATTTCCAACCGAGCAAATGAGCCTACCAAATGCTCGGAGGTACGGCACTAGGAAAGTTTGCACTAATTTTATGTCTTTGCACTGATTTTATGATATAACAATCAGATTTGAATGCCACCAAGAGAATGCACAGTGTATGACTGTAAAACAGAAAATATCCTGAAACCATTCAATTTTATGCATCATAAGCTTTCTCAATATTTCTGAAAACAGTAACTCCTAACCAAGCACAACAAGGAACAGTAACAAGTATAAAAATTCATCACCATTATTTGTTTATGTCACACTTAAACTTGCTCAAATATATTATATAAGGGAGTTAAGAAAGCAAGAAAACCAAATCCAAAAACACTGAATTCACTGGACTTGTATAAAATGATGGACGACTTTGTACTACTCAGTACTATTGGCCTGAAGAAGACCATTCCTGATCTGCGAAGCAATGTCTCTTAGGGTATCTGGCCCGTGAGGGATGAAACCAGAGTTTGACTTCGAAGATGCCCCGATCTCCTTCATTGTGTCAATGTATTGAGTCACAAGAACCATGTCCATGACATCCCTTGATGTTGTCCCAGGTACTTTATCAGAGAAGGCTTGCACACTGTCCCTCAAACCATCGACTATAGCTCGGCACTGCCTAGCTATCCCAACCCCAGACAGATACTTTGCCTCTGCATCTTCTTCGGCTGCTCTCTTCATATTCATTGCTCTCTTCAAATGCTCATCTGGTTCAATATCCACAATCAAAGTCTGAACTATCTCAAACCCGTAATTTGACATGGCCTACAGATCCATAAAATTGGTTAGTTCAAACAAAAAGTGCGTAGTCCCAAATAAATGAAGCAGACAGAAAGATACCTTTCCAAGTTCCTCTTCCACAGCTCTCGCAATTTCATTCTTCTGTTCAAATAGTGAATCCAGCTCCAACTTTGGAACACTTGCCCGAATAACTAAACAGAAAATATAATCCTGTTACTTCCACCTGGGAACTATGATCTAGAAACTAGTACTCTTGAATTGAGCCCGTTTCAACCATGGCTGAATGAACTATAAACATGAACCGCTTATGGTTCAAAGCATCAATCAAAATTTCGAAATCCTCTAAACAACAAATTTTTCAAATAAAAAGTACAAAGATACTTTTAAGATGAAAAGGAGACTCTAAACAGTTCAAGTAAATACTTGGACAAAAATGAGTGGAAATCCCAAATGAAAAAAACCACAGGCTGCAATATTTATAACCATTGATCTTTTATCTTCATAACCCTCCTAAGCATTCATCAGATAGCACATCCCATGATAACGAGCAATTTCAGTCCCACAAACCATTCTAAATTTACACACCCAATAAAGCATATTACAAGTAGATGACCATTTTATCCTTAGTTTCCACAAGGCTGTCCTTTCTTAAGTTCTTTTTCGATCATACAAAGGAAGTACCATCCTAACTAACTAAAAACACCATAGTAGGGAATGAAACATATCCTAACTAGAGATAACAGAAACTTCAACAGTGCAATTGACAACAAAAACTACAAGCAGAAGTTACAGAGCTTAAGTTCAGAGTAGGTACCATTGTAAACACGAAAGAGGGAGTAACATAGACATGATTAAGTTTCTTAAATAAGTATGAGCTAAAGCAACATGAATACCATCAAAGACATAGGATTGGATCTGAGTTCTTGTATTGCTGAGCTCATAGAAAGCATCTGACGCCCTTTCAGCCGAGGCTCTATATTGAATTGAAGCAACCACATTAACAAACAAATTATCCTGCAGGAATAATCATACATCAGAATTTGCTGAAATAACCAACAAAGACACAGACAGGAAAAGAAATACATGCCTCTAATTAATTTTGCATTTGTTCGTATTAAAATCAAATTTATGTTAGAAACCATTATCAGAATTTTTTTTTTTTTTTTGGAAGAGCATTGGATTTTGACCATGAAATAGTTTCTCACACAACAATAGATATTTCCAGAAATTAATCATTAGGAATGAAATTTCAGAAATACACCTTTACAGCAGTGATAAATTATGCTGCAAACCTTGGTTTTCGTTTCACAACGAACATGCTGCTGCTGCACACGCAAGGAAAGTTTACCAGCTATTTGTCTTCCAAAACACCATGGTAAACAATGGCAACCAGGCTTAAGCACATCTTTGAACTTCCCATAGGTTTCCGTGATAGCCACTGTTGATTCTTCTACTTTAACGCAACACAAAGCTTGCCCCATCTTCTGAAGGAAAAACACATACAGTTCTCAGTAATGGGCAGGGTTGTCAAACTCGAGTTTTAAATCGTAAAATCGATATTGTGTATGGATTTCGAGTAAAATCTACTTTACAATCGGATTTTTATAAAATCGGATGATAAAAACGTAAAAACGCGATTTTTTTCGTAAAATCGTTTGAAATCTCGATTTTACTTTCACAAAAATTGAAGAAGAGATTTCCAGAAATTTGCCGCAGGGGAAGGAAAGATTTTGGACAGCTGCGGTGCCGGCGTGCCGCTGCTCACTACCACTGCTCACATCTCAGGCACTTGCGGGATGGAAATCTATTTGGTGACCCA